CCTCTGCAGCCGCCAGAAGAGCCAGCTGCCTGCCTGGCCCCATGTGCCGAAATATCCCGGTGGGCCAGTCCGGCCCTGGGTATGTGTAGGCCTGGAGCATTTGCGGTCCTGCCCATCCGGCGGTACACGTGAAAGGACTCAAGATCAGGGTGGTAGTGGTGAGGTTGAGGGGGCCAGGTACTCTGCATTCGGGGCGAACAGTGGCTTCTGCGTGGGTGTATTAGATGGAGTGCAGCTAACCTCCGCTTCGGCTTCTTGCGCCTTTTCCCGCCAACCGCCATTCTGGGCTTCTTGGCGCGTGGAGCCTGCTGCTTGGTTAAGTGGTTACTTGATTGCTGAAGGACTGGCTGAGATGCCTGACATTCCATTGTTTGCCAGAAGGCAGTAAAGATAGCGTCCTGCCTGGTCTGGATATCAGCTTGGGCAACGTGCGGATGGAGGGAACACGTGGCATCTGCCATGATTGTGGAGTCACTGGGCTGGTTGTTGAGGGGTAGAGCTGTGTCCTGTACCACTTTCAGATCGGGGTAGCTTGTCTGAGTGGGACCGTGATCACGTGATGAACGGTCCAAGGGGGGGGGTTAACTGGGTGCGTGCCTCAGGGGAGTAGTCGATGTGTTGCTCCACTTCTCTCCTCCATGACAGTCAGGCCTCGCCCCCATATTTATTTTTAATGCTTTTAGGGTTATTTACTAAACTTTGAATTTTAGTTAAAGGATCACTATAGTGCACTGGCGACCTCTCCTCCCCGTCCAACGTCAGTGGAGCCTAATGCGCATGCGCAACAAGTGCCACGCACGCATCTAAAGAGTCCATGCTTTTCAATGCTTTCCTATGGGGATTTTAGCGACACTGGAGGTCCTCACACAGCGTGAGGACGTCCAGCGACGCTATAGCACAGAAAACTTGTGCTATGGACCAGGAGGTGCCCTCTAGTGGCTCTCTAGTAGATGTCTTTATGAAAACTGCAATAATTACAGTTGCAGGGTTAAGGGTAGTGGGAGTTGGCACCCAGACCACTCCAATGGGCAGAAGTGGTCTGGGTGCCTGGAGTGTCCCTTTAAGGTGAATTTCAAATTTAAGGGCAGGGTAGCTGAAAGGAAAGCATAGTTGATTCAGAGTATTCTTCCAGTTTGGCTATTTGCTAAATTCACTTTGACTTCTTACTTTAGTGGAAAAACTAAAA